TAACTTACAACATATTAGAAAATTAATTAAACATGAATCAAAGATCTAATGTTAGAGCTAAAACTAACTTTTAGAAGCAAACATATATGAAAAATTTGAAAATATTATGTGGTGATGATTTCTTGGATATGACAAGAAATGTCCAGCAATGAAAGAAAAAAAAAGATTCACTGGAGTTCATAAATATTAAACATTTTGTGCCTGAAAAGACACCATTACCAGGGCCAAAGACAACCCATGGATTGGGAGAATGCATCTGTAAAACCTGAATTTGATAAGATACTGATATGCAAATATATAAAGAGCTATAATTCAAAATGAAACATTAAGAACTAAATGAAACAATTTCATGAAAAAAATTGTTCAAAGAAATCGAATTGACATTTTCCAAAGAAGATATACAGATGGCTAATAATCAATGGCAAATATGTTCAACATTGCTAATAATTGGAGAATTACAAATCAAAACTAGGAAATATCACCTCAAAACTAGGAGATATCCTTTAGAATAGCTATTAAAAAATAGAAAATAGCAAGTTTTGGCAAAGATGTGGAGAAATTGAAACTCTGGTGCATTTCTGGTGAGAATGAAAATGGTGCAGCAAGTGTGGAACACAGTATGATAGTTCCTCCAAAAAGTGAATGTAGAATCACCTAATGGTCCAGATATTTCATTTTTGGATTTTTCCCAAAAGGAACACAATCAGGCACTAACATGACATTTGTAAACACATGCTTACAGCTGCATTAGTCACAATAGCCAAAAGCAGATGCAGCTCAACCAATTGACAGATGAATGGATAGCAAAGTTGTGGCCTATACATTTATTCAGCATCAGAAAAGAATGAAATTCTGACCCATAATGCAACATGGGTGACCCTCCAAGATATGAAGCTAAGTAAAATATACCATAGAGAAGTACAAATGCTGTATGAGTCCACTTTTATGAGGAACCTAGAGTAGTCAAATTTACAGAGAAAGTAGCATGTTAGTTTTTAGAGTCTGGGGTTAGAAGAGAATGGGGAGGTGTTTGGTTTGGTTTGGTTTTGGTACTGAGGATTGAACCTAAAGGTCTTCTATATTGAGGTACATCCTCAGCCCTTTCTATTTTTTTTTTTTTTTGAGACAAGGTTTCAGTTACTGAGGCAGGTCTAGAACTTGTGATCCTCCTGTATCCACATCCCAAGTTACTAGGATGACAGGTGTGCACCATATATATATATATAAAATTTATTTACCTACAGCAAAGTTATTCCACTGAATCATATAAGTGACATAACTATGAGAGCATAACATTAAAATATACAAATGGAAATAAATTTACATTAGTGATCCATTAGCCTCAGCCTCCCAATCCACTGGGATTACAGGCATGTGCCACCATAACCAGCTCATTTCTGTATTTTTAAAAGGGGAAATGTTAAAAAGAATGTAGACGAAATATACTCTCACCAGAGGATGAACAGAAATTAAGAGTAATAAAAATGAACTCCAAATTCTGTCTAAAAATGAGTCCTTGTAATGTCCTAATAGAAGTACCTAGTCACCAGTGGCAATAAAATATTTCATAAATTGAAAGACATTTTTTTTTTTGCAAGACCTAGTTCAGTTCAGTGAAAACAAAAACTAGCCATTTATGTCAGTGAGATATGGTGTTTTCAAGATTTCTTTTTTCTTATTTTTATGTTTGGTTCACACCTAGAGAAGTTTATGAGTTTTTTCCAAGCTTTGCAGCTATACACACTCAATATTTCCCTGAAAATATGTGTTCACCTTGAAGGTAAAAAGCATATAAATTTAAAATACTTTTCTTCTTTTCATGTTTTAGAAAGAGGACTTGAAATTTTTCATCTGTGATGGTCACTAGCCACATGGTATGTTTGTCTCAAACTTTAAATGAATGTTTTTTCTTACATAACAAATTTTTCCATGAATTTGTACACAGCATTATACATTTTAACTACAGTCTAGTTTTTTAAGATGTATGGGTTTTTTATAAAATATATAAATTTTGTTGCCTCAAAGTGGAGACATTTGTCAAAAGAAATCAGCAGTTTGTTTGTTTTCCTTTTGGAATAAGTGGGGGCATTTCCTTTTTTGCAGGAAACATTTACAGAACACTTAAAAAGTTTTTTTCATTTTGTGATAATGGGATTGAGTCTAGGGTGCTCTACCACTGAGCTACATTCCCAGCTCTCTTTATTTTTTTAAAATTTTAGACAGGAACTCACCAATTTTCTGAGGCTGGTCTCAAGTTTGCAATCCTCCTGCGTCAGCCTCTTAAGCAGCTGGGATAAAAGATGTGTGCTACCATGCCTTGCTGAACACTTGAGAATTGAAAAGAATAGATATACAATATTTTACTCCACTCTCTCTGTCTTTATTTCTATTTTTCTATATCTTTCTGTCTCTGTCTCTCTGTGTCTCTTTCTCCATTTCTCTCTCTTTATTATTTATGCTTTTCATTTAGAATTTTAAACCACTGACTTTGTTATAGTGTTTATATTCACAGACAAGTATTCAATTTCTTAAAAACATAGTGAGGTATATTAAGAACAATAACTACATTCTTATCTTTCTTAATCTTATTATTTTTTTTTTCCTAAATATATTGCCCTAGGTGTCTATTGAGAGCAAAATCTTCTAGAAATGTATACTGAGCCAAATTCAGAAACTGCTTTCTTTATTCAATTTAACAAGTTATTGCTCCATTGTGCTGAATGGCTCCCTGGTGTACCAAAAGATCAGGAGGAGTCCCAAAAGCACATAGCTTAGTCTCAATTGGCAATCAGACTGGAAGAGTTAGATCTGTGCATACCCCATGTCCATCCTGAAAATAATTTTCTATGCTAGATAGATATGATTAATTAGAATTTATTATCTGCTGATAATTCAACTTGTCTCCTAAATGATTTGACACTGAGTAATAATACACTTAAGTATTATAAAATATGCAAATGAATCTATCTTATGTATTATAAAATACATAAATGGCATAGAAATCTTGTATCCAAATAATGTATTTCTGGATGAGGATATAGCTAAGTTGGTGGAGTGCTTGCCTTGCATGCACAAGGCCCTGGGTTCAATTCCCAGCACCATACACACACACACACACACACACACTCTTTCACACACACACACACACACACACATACACACAAACAAGTATATTTCGATGTCATTGAAGAAAGTGTGGCAAAGAAAAGCTAATTATAAGAGAAATATGGTGAAGGCATGAGTTAGATAAATTCACAGAATATAGGCTAAGATCTAAATAAATGCTCACTGCTGTTTAGAGTACATTCTTTGGAGTATGTTTATATTGCTGAATAATGGAATGTGAGGACTGGTAGGTTCTCATATAAATGTTGAGGCTCTTAGCCTTCATTCTAAAAATAACAAGACAACGTGCATAAAATTAGCCAAAGGGTGATAAATATAAGTAGAATGAAGTTGAAAAGATACTGTGAACAGGACTCAAGTGAAGATTAAAGAAAAGAAAGGTTGAAAGAACAAAATCATTATAGAGAAACTGGAAGATTCTACTTGGTATAGCAGCAGAAAGGCCCTGAGAATTAGTTATTGATTGGAGAAAGGTAGAATGAAACATGAAGGATAAATCACAAGTTTCTGGTCTTACACACAGACATACACACAAAAGAGAGACAGAGAGAGAGACAGAGAGCGAGAGCGAGAGCAAGAGAGAGAGAGAGAGAGAGAGAGAGAGAGAGAGAAAATTCAACTAGTTGATTAAAAAATAGGTAGATATAAATAAAAATCTTTAAGTGTGTGTCTCTTTTAGTGAGAACTTTAAATAAGAATTGGTTGCTTTGTTTTCTTTTAGTCCTTCTTTAGACTCCCTGGCATTTGTGACCCTTGTGCTTAGACACAGAATCTTGATGCAATTTGCAATGTCTTCTCTCTGTAGCACAACACCCGCTGCCTTTTCTTAGATAATCTTGCTTGCTTTTAAGGTCTTGGCAAACACATATTCCGGGAGGACCTCTTCACCTTTAGAAGATGACCTCTCCACCTTTAGAAGATGCCCTTGCCCTGGAAATCACTAACCTGCAACTTGGTTTCTTTACCCAAGGTCATTTTTCATTCATCAGAGATGGAGCCACTGAGTGTTAGTGTGTCTTGGGCAAAGTTCTAGAAAGCCCCTTCAGGAAAGCATTTCATGAAACAAAGTTCTTGTCCTGAATGTGATTATGCTCTACAGGGAAGAGACAAAAGTCATTACAAAGAACTGTACTGTATATTATGTTAAATAGTATTAATATTAATTATAACAATAACACAGAGGAGGGAAATAGGAGTTTTGGTTCTTTTTAAAAAAATTTAAATAGGGTAGTCAGGGAATATTTCCCTAAGAAGGTGATATGTATATAAGACAAAAAGGACACAAAGTAACAGCCATATTACCTCATCTGAGAGAAAGATATTGCAGAATGAGGGCAAGGCAAAAATGGTGCCCAAAGCCCTCAAGATCGTTCCAGATTCTTCCCACTGCTCAATTCCAAAATTGCCTCTCAACTCCCCCCAACCCCACACATGATTGCAGATAGTTGAAGAACCATGTTTACTACTGAATACCAAAAATTGTATTTTGTCTGTTGCTATTGGACAAATTATCACAAAATATAGTGTAATAAAACAATTAGTATTCAGTAACTTTGGTGGAATCGATAGGTTAATTATATTAAGCTTCTTCGCTGGACAGTTCTCCGGTAACTTCTCACCAAGTTCTAGCTAGGGATGCTGTCCCACGAAGGTTTGACTGAGACTGGAAAATTTGACTGCAAGATGGCCAACAATACAAGGCTTGGGCCTAGATTTTTGTTGTTGTTGTTTATTTATATCAGTACTAAGTATTGAATACACGCTGAGCAAGCCCTCACCACTAAGTTCCATCTCCAGATTTTAAATTTTATATTTTTAATTTTGAGACAGGTCTTCCTAAGTTGCCCATGGGACCTGTTATTTTTGTTTTGTTTTAAAATATGGAATGCTTCCTGAATTTGCATGTCATCCTTGCGCAGGGCCGTGCTAATCTTCTCTGTATCATTCTGATTTTAGTATATGTGCTGCCAAAGTGAACACAAAAGACCTATTATTAATGGATGATCTCGGTTTCTCTCCACATGAACCTGTCCGCAGGAAGTCGAGGGCTTCCATGACATGGAATGGGCTTCCTTTAAAATAAGCAAGCCCAAACAGACAGGGGCTTGGGGGGCGGGGGGAGGGGGAGGAGGAGAAGGAAGCAGCTATTCTATTTGGACCTAATTTTAGAAATTATACGCCATCACTCATGACACTTTTTCTTTTTCATGACACATTATTCTATTTGTTAAAAGCAAGTTACTAAATCCGGGCCACATTTAACCGGAGGACAAAGAGACTCTACTCTTTAAAATGAGAACTATCAAGATCACCAGCTACATTTTTAAATGACTACAAGAAAGTATAGCAGGATTCCTAGGAAAAAGTGAATTTAAACAAAGTTCCCTGACTGGCAAAATTAAAAGTAATAACAATGAGGCTGGGAAGGTTGAATCATATTATTTGTCAGAAAGGATGATGCCCCCATCAGAAAATGAACTCCAATTCCATTTGGCAAATGTAGCAGTGGGCAGAAATCAAATTAATAGATTTGTGGATGCTCTGCTACTGGGAGAGCATATATTAGTGAAAAGCAAAGGGGTTTAGTGCATTTTAATATGGGTTTTGTATTCATTCAAAGGTCTTATTTTCTTCATAAAGTTTCATACCTATTCTATAAAACCCACACCAAAGATTGTATACCTTAAACACTGAAAAGCACATTAGTAGTACAATTTCAAAGAGCTTGCAAGTAACATTAGCTGCAATGGAAATTGTTTTCTCATGAGCATCAGCATATCCACATATGATACTATGATTTAGGGTGAAAATGTATAAAACTAAAGCATAAGTATATCAGAAAAGAAGCTTTCAAGTGACAAGTGATTCGATTTTTCTCTGAAGAGCAAAGCACATCTCAATGACTGGAAAAAGAATGTTAGTAAAGTTTTGAGGGAGCCACGCCAATTGCAGTCACCAATAATCCTTCATACTATTAGCACACTTCTTTGTAATGACGTTTTGTCTCTTTCTTGTAGAGTATAATCATATTTAGGGCAGGAACTTTTTCTGTATTTATGAAATGCTTTCCTGAAAGGGCTTTCTAGCACTGTGCCTGGGAAACACTAGAATATGATATTGAGCTCAACATCATATGTTAAAATATAGACCCAAAGCCTTTTAAATAAATAACTTGAAATATTTCTAGTTGTATATAAATCTACTTTTGCAAGATTGACTAGTAAATACTTATCTTTAATATATCACTTGCACATACCATGTTCTTTGTTTATATTAATCATATTAATATTCCCTTCCCTAAAGGTTTGTTGTTTAAGGGAACCGATGTCTCACAGAAGTCATATAGAAATAACATATAAGTGATGATGTCCTGACATCTTTCTCTGGTCAGTTTTCAATGGAAGAGGATTTTATCTAATTTTCTCAATCATTGAGTTTTGTCTCAGGTTGTTTTTTTTTTTTTTTTTTATTGTGACTTAGTTCAAAATTGCAACACTTCTTTTTAATGTTCATAATAAAGAAAGATCCTTTTATCTTTAAAATAACAAAAGTTTATATCCTGTTGGTACATAATTTTATGCATTCAACTCAAAGAACTGTACATTCAAAATAGACAAAGAACTGTACATTCAAAAAGGTATTCAAAATACCTTAAGTAAATTTTACATGAATTTTAAAAAGTACAAAAACAAAAGAGAAACAAACTCCAGAATTGTATATATTGAGCAAAAAGGCCATTGTCATATTCTAAATATGTTTTATCATATAGATGTGTATGTATGTGTATATATATATATATATATATATATATATATATGTGTGTGTGTGTGTGTGTATATTATTTTTTTTTGGTGTGTACGTGTGTATGTGTGTGTGGTGCTGGGAATTGAACCCAGGGCCTTGCGCATACAAAGCAAGTACTCTACCAATTGAGCTATTTCCCCAGCTCAAAACTAGATATATTAATACAAACATATTTTTTAATTTATATGCCTGAGCACATGGCCAGGCACATAGCAATCCATAGCTGGATTCAAGGCAGACATTATTATTTGTGCTGAGAAATTCACTAGAACACGTATTTTAGACAATTAAATGTTATATAAAATAAAGAGTCTCGTATTTGATTTTTTAATCCATATATTTTCCCCTATGGTGGCTTACATTTTCATTTAAAGTCTTAACACAGAATTTAATATTCACAGAATGAAGATTTCTCAGCATTCTGATATTTGGCACATAGTTTTCTTAACTGTTGTGGACATCAACCATTTATTTCAATTGTGAAATGTTTAAATTTAAATACATTTTAAATTAGATTTTGAGGCCTCAAGCTAGCATTAGTTGCTAATCATTTCATTCATTTGTTTAGATAGAATCAATTCTTGAAAAGTGCAATTGAAGTCTGAGAAGCAGATAGATCTTTATCTACTAAAGTGAACCATGTTCCTTCTCCTGCTCATGTGCTTAAGAGTGAAAAATTCCTAGTAAGAAGTTTGCCTTTGAAGAGGGAAATGAAGGACACAAGACACAGAACATCTTAGATAAAAGGTTCAGAGCTTTTGACACTTTATTTGAATATGGAAATTAGACCTTTACCTTTATACCAACCTTTGAATATTCTCATATAACACACTTCATTATGAGAATGAAGAAATTCAGAGTCAAGAGCTTTGGGTCTCATTCTTGGCTGTGTATCAGAATCATCTGGGAAACTTCACACACTTGTGATTTTTAATGTCCTCTTTCCAGAGATTCTGATTTAATTCACATGAGTTGTGGCTTGAACACTGGGATTATTACAATATCCTTGGGTAATTTTTTAAAATTTATTTATTTATTTATTTTTTTGCAAACCTGGGAATTGAACCCAGGGCCTCACACAGGCTAAGCAAATGCTCTCCCATTGAGTTACACAGTTAACCTTTTTTTTTTTTTTTTTCAAATTTTACTTTAAGATAGGGTCTTACTAAGTTGCCCTGGATGGCCTTGAATTTATGATCCTCTTGCCACAGCCTCCTGAGTAGTTGGGATTACAGGCATGTGTCAATACACCTGGCTTTGGGTGATTTTTAAATGTGGGAAAATTTGAAAAACAGTGACCTAAAAAAAGGGAATAAAATGGAGTTGAAGTAAATATTGCAAACCTTCCTTCCCAATACCTGATTTGGGATAAGAAAAGAATTTATAAAATACCAGGATTCCCAAATCAATAGGTAACTGTAGTTTACATGTTTTTTTTCCCTGAGTTAGTTTCTAAACATATAAATTGACAAGTTTCATAAGCAAAATTATTATAAATCTTTAAAAAGATGATTCTTTTCAAAATGAGCTTATTTCCAAAATAAACTATTAGTCTCCACTGTGATTAAGATTGGGCAATTTAAAGATCCATATTTCTCTGTCATAAGATGTGGACACCAGAGAGGAAGTTGTATTTAAATGTTTAACTTCATCTCTACCATCAAAGAACACAGTTAATGCAAATTTCAACTGTAAAAATTCTAATATTCTTGACAACACACTAAATAATATAGTGTAAAAGGATCTACTTATATTTAATTCTCCAATATGAGAAAAAAATTCTATTTTACAAATTATATTTGTGGTTAAAAAATTTGATTGTGTGGGAAATCATTGCAGTTTTTGTTCTCTATACTCCTGATTCCTCTATTAAAGTCTATTAAAAAGAAAGAAAGTGATGTATAGTGTGCCCTCAAAGCTTTCAGAGTGAATAATATCCAGCTTTTCTGGTGCTAACATTGCCTAGTGATAATGGTAATGATGAATCCCTGTGCAGACTCCCTTAGATATTAGGAAAATGATTTCTCTTAACTCATATTAGGTACTTAAGTTTTACAGCAGTTGCCTGTCTTTGAAAAATACACCTTAAGAGCTAAAAATATTACTTCACTTAAACAACTACAGTTGTTTTGCAAAAAAGCATACCATGTCTGGGAATTACAAATCTAAACTGAAATAAATAAATATGTGCCTTGTGGGTCCAGTCTTTGGGAAAGGCAGGGAAATACTAACATGACGTACACTAGAGCTATATCTCAATTTATGTGCACCTGATTTTGTAGCCATAGTAAATTCTTTGAAAAATTTGTATCCAAATTACCAATAAAAAAATCCCATACTCTGAGCTTCCCAATGATAGTCTTTGGGAAATTCAGACTGAAGTTGCAGTGATAAAAAAAGTTATTTGAAGAACAATGCCAACATAAAATAAAGATTGTAATGTGTTCACTATATCTAATAACTAGTAGCTCAGTTTTGTTAATGTATCCAGTGAGGTATAAGCTACATGGAGATCCTGTGTGGAGGTTGCTTTTATAATCTATATACATCCTTTCCTTACCTTTCCACCTAGGTGTCCCTAGTAAAGATTCTTAATGTCTTCACAATCAAAATACTATTATAAAAATCTAATTCTTTTTCCTTCTCTTTTTCCATTCATTTTGTATGCTACTACCAGATTTCAAATCATATTCAACTATTCATTTAATTTATTCTTCTATCAATACTTTCATTGACTATTTACCAAGTTTCAAACACTATATGAAATGGATACAATGGTGGGAAAAAGGGAGTTTATCTGTGTGTGCTCCCATGGCCTTTACTATGTATGCCTATAGAAAGTGATCTCTGGTCTCCCTTCCTCTTCTTATTAGGAAGTTAATTCTACCACATCAGGGACCTATCATGATGATATTATTAAGTAATCTTCCTTGCAAGTGTTATCTCCAAATATAGTCATGTTGGGAGTTAGGACTTTAACATATGACTTTCAGAGGGACAAACCTCAGTTTATAACACAGCTTGGTTAAGCAGTGAGTTCAGTAATTTCTCAGTATCTGTTGAGGATTGTTCTAGGTCCCTACCCCAACCATGGAAACCCAAATCTATAGATGCTCAAGTACCTTTTAAAAAATAGTGTAGTATCTGCATATAACTTTACATGCTTGTATGCTTTA